TCCCTGGCCGCATCCCCGGTGCGCGCGCCTCTCCGGGCGGCAGGGGCGCAGCCCAGGGCCCCGACTCCCGGGCAGGGCGTCTGCCGCCGCCACCCCCAAGAGAGGCCGACTTGGCCTCAGGGCCACCCTGGCAGGTGTACAAATTGTGGGTCATTAGTAATTAGATGAAACCAGAAGCCCCCCGGGGGGCGGGGGAGAGCGGCGCACCCTCCGGACCCCTCCTCCGGATCCTCCCAGTGGGCAGCCCAGGCAGGTAGGGGAATTGGTGCCAGCCAGGTCAGCTGCTGTGACCCAGATAGACCCAACTAGCCACCCGAGCCACCTTCTGCACGGGCAGGCCGGGCCGCTCCTTCTCCATGCCTCCCTTGCCTTCACCCACAGGCCTGGTGGTCAGGCCCACCCTGGGCTCTGCTTTTCCAGGCGCTTCTCCCAGCTGCTCTGGGCCATGGCCTCTCATGACTTTTTTCTCTTTCCAGACATGTTTCTTGCCAGAGAAACAGGTTTCCTCCTGTTAAGGATTGACCCGATCCTCACTTGGCGGGCGCCTGTGGCTCACTAACGTAATCCTACGTAGCTACTCTCGAGTCTGAGATCTGAGAATCACGGTTTGAAGTCAGCGTGGGCAAGGAAGTCCAAGAGACTCATCTCCAATTAACCACAAAAAGCCAGAAATGGAACTGTGGCTCAAGCGGTAGGGTGCCAGCCTTGAGCTGAACAGTACCGGGCCCTAAATTCAAGCCCCTTTTCTTTCCTTTTCTCTTTACTTTCTTCTTTCTCTTTTTTTTCTTTCTCTTTCTTATTTTCTTTCTCTCTCTCTCTCTCGCTCGCTCTTTTTTATTTTTCCAATTTTGTACTGGGATTGAACTCAGGGCTTTGAGTTTGCTAGGTAGTTGCTCTACTGCTCAGTCAAGCCTCTGTCCCTTTTTTTGCACTGATTATTTTGAGATTTTCCATATTGGGACTGGACCACAATCCACTTATTTTATATCTCATTTCACCTGACAGACACACACCACCACCATGCTCAGCTTCTTCCATTAAGATAAAATCGCACAAAGGTTTGTTTTTTGCCTAGGCTGGCCTGGAACTACAACCCTTCTACTCTCAGCCTCTTATGTAGCCAGGCTGATAGGTTCACAGTTTAAGATATAGCTTAAGATATATCTATTAATATGTACAGTTGTCCTCTCATTCTGCCTTTGCATAAACAATTTTGGGGGTGATTGCCTAGCTCAGGTGACAGAGTATTTGCCTAGCACATGCCTGGCATAAGCATAAGCATAAGCTCACAACAAAGTCTCGCTGTGTACATCCTAAGATTTTAGAAGCCCTGTTGCAAGAATCCAGGGCAAATACAAATGTCCTTTCCTTCCTGTGGCATAGGTATCTTCCCTCCCTCTCTCACTTCTTCTCTTTTCTTTCGTGTGGAAGGAAGAACAGAAACTCTTGGTAAGTCTCCAAATAGCTTCAAGATAGGTGGCCCACCCTATCATACTGTCCATGAGATTTGGATTGAGGTGTTGAGTCATATGATATCAATGGGCTCCCTGGGAAGGAAGCTGGACATTTAGTTTGATCACCTTCTCACCACTGCTGCCACCATGTCAGATACTGTTTTGCTTCCTTGTCCATAGTCAATGCTGTCTCCTCTTTGTGTTACCAGCTCAGTTGGCTCCTCACTTATTGGGCCTTACAGGTAGCATAGGAAGGTGCCACCTGTTGACTCCAAAAAGTGAGTTGAAGAACCTGCTTATATATAACCTGCAAGGTGCTGTAAAAAAGTGTCTGCACCAATCATGGAAGACCTTTGTGTAAATGAAGGACTCTGCACCAATCATGGTGACCTCTGTTCAAATTACGATTACAGGCCTTCTGCTGGGCTACCAAGGGAAGGGCTCCACCAATGGCCCAGGTGAAAATGGTTGCTGAGGCTTGTGATGGCAAAACGATCCAAAAAGCTGTCTAATAAATATAGGTGTGGCTGAGATAGTGTCTTCTTGAGAGTTATGGCACTCTGGCTGTTTGGTGGCCAGTTGGAGATACTCTCACAGACTTTCCTGCCCAGGCTGGCTTCTAATTGTGATCCTCAGACTTCATCCCCCTGAGTAGCTAGGACTACAGGCATGAGTCACTGGCTTCCAGCTCTTGTTTCTTTTCTAGTCTGACCATGGACAAATTAAAGTACCATATAGTATCTGAAATCCTCTGAGAGGAACTATTTCTGGAGTAAGTAACCTGGAGGAAAGGTACCTGCTGTGTGGGCTTTTGTTTTTGTACTTTGCAGTTAATCCTGTGGTGATACATGTGCTGTTATTGTCTGCCCTCCACCACTATACTGGCTTTTTTTTTTTTTTTT